CGACGTCGCCACGGCGCTTGTGTCAGGCCATGTGCACGTTGAGGCCACGTGAAGTGGTCGAACGCCCGCTGGCAGCGGGAGGTCACGGAACAGAGCCAGACCCAGCAGGTGCCATGGATCGCCTGACTGAGCTCCTGGCCGATGCATCACCTGTGCCCCCTACTGTGTCAACTGCAGCATGCCCGCCCCCCTCACCCCAGCATGGCCAATTGAAGCAGAGACAACCCCCTTTGACGGAGACCCCAGCGTCTAACTGCTTTAAATTAAATAACAAAATAAAGACGCATTCTTTTAATATATACTTTCGTTACCATTTTTTTAAGTTTAGATTTTTTTTTGTAATCGAAGAGTCGGTTTTGTCGTCTACATGCCCACGTGACCGATATGGCGTCCCCCTCGTGCACACACACAAACACACAACTTTATTTCTGTTTTTACTGGCGATATAAGATCTAATGATGGCTTTCTGGGGCACGACGACATCACGCAGATTCGCGAGCAGTTTCCCCGGTCCGCGTTAAAAGACCCGCCCCGCACTACCGCAAATTTCTGTTGATGAAGAGCTTCATAGCTCATCGGATTCCTCGCCCGAGGCTAAATAAAGATTCTGATGCGTCTAGTCAATTGCCGAGCGACACTTTAGACGAGTTTAGAAAGCCCCTCTCGAAACCCCTTCGAGAGAGGGTGGCAATGCTGGCGCGGGTCACCCACACGTGCCGCTGCCGAGGAGGGCAGTCACGGGCGTTGTTGTGGAACGTGGGGCTGGCAATCCCTGCCACTTAATGCCCGCAACTTCCTTACAAACGTGTAAGGAAGGGGAGGAGAATGATGACGTTAGGGAATGTGTGTGGTCCACCATCAGCAGCAGCAGCAGCGACGCCAAACACATCTGGAAGGTGACCGACTCTTGACTGAAACCTTTCGTGACTGCAGGAATTCATATGCTTTGGGTCTTTCGGTAAAGTCACGTTGCGATCGCAAACACACATCGCTCGTGTTGCGATCGAAACGTCGCGTAGTTTTTGTGTTTTGTTATTTTCTCTGAACCTATCTACGTGACTTTACCGAAAGACCCAAAGAATAGGTGATTGACTGTTCGTCTTCGCACAGCGGGAAAGGAAGGCAAGCGCCATCTGCCTTCGTGGCCAACGCAACAACAGTGGCCGGTAACATCATTGCCGCAGCTTTCCGCGCATCGAGAGTCTGACTGTAACCACCACCCCCCACTCCACACACACGAAACCCGTCCCGGAAGAAGAAGAAATCCCTGCCTCGGTGAAGGCGGTCTCTGGAGCACCAGGGGCAGGCGGCGTCTCACCGGGGTCTGTTGCTGCCACCCTTCCAAGGCCATCTCCGCCCATCCCCTGCTGCTGCTGCTGGGGGGGGCGGTGTCAGCTCGTGGCTTGGCTGCTCAAGGCAGCTTTGAGGAAACCAACAACAACAGCAACTAACAACACAGAGAAAGAATCCGCCCCGGGGTTTTTTTTTTTTAAATGTGAAACCTACGCCACAGCGAAGGTCTTGGGACTCCTCCAGCCCCTTGGGAACCACGGTGGGGTGGGGCACGTGGGGTGGGTGGGGCACGTGGGGTGGGTGAGGGCAGGGGGGTGGGGTGGGTGAGGGCAGGGGGGGTGGGGTGGGTGGGGGCAGGGGGGGGTGAGGGCAGGGGGGGTGGGGGCAGGGGGGGGGGCAGGGGGGGGGGGAGGAATGGAGCGATCTTTTCGAGGAACAAAGTTTTCGAAACGTTGACGAAACAACATCGCCACTGAAAATAAAAATCGTTTGAAAATTGAAAGTCGTGTTGACGCTTAAACAAGAAAATAAACAACAACAAAACATTCGCGGCGATCGAAACCGTACCGTCGGTAGCCCACTGCCGTGGTGGCCGCCTTTTGCAAAGTCGTTTTGTGTTTCGTTAGCTGCCGTACAATGAACTGATATGCTACACATCACGCATGCTTGGGAACATCCCCTCGAGTAATAGGTTCATCTGCTACAAACTCCCAACATCGTGGCAGGCACAGGCATACGATAATACTGAAGTCGCACTTGTGCTCCACTACGTGTGGTTCTTTTCGTGTTATTTTGCGTGTACCCGTGTGTGTGTGTGTACCCACGTGTGTGCGAGTGTACCCACGTGTGTGTGTGTGTGTACCCACGTGTGTGTGTGTGTGTACCCACGTGTGTGCGAGTGTACCCACGTGTGTGCGCGAGTGTACCCACGTGTGTGTGTGTGAGTGTACCCACGTGTGTGTGTGTGTACCCACGTGTGTGCGAGTGTACCCACGTGTGTGTGCGAGTGTACCCACGTGTGTGTGCGAGTGTACCCACGTGTGTGCGCGAGTGTACCCACGTGTGTGTGCGTACCCACGTGTGTGAGAGTGTGAGTACCCACGTGTGTGTGTGTGTACCCACGTGTGTGTGTGTATCCACGTGTGTGTGTGTGTGTATCCACGTGTGTGCGCGAGTGTACCCACGTGTGTGTGTGTGAGTGATAGCCCTTAGCGGATTTTGACGCGTTCCAAAGACGAGGTGACATCGGGGTTGGCCGTACGCGAGCGCAAGCCCCGCACCGCGCGCCCCTCGCGAGAGCCCCGAGGGGCACAGACGACGACTTTTTAATATTTGAACGCACTCCGAGCCTCGGCAGTAGCGCGGTGGTGGGGAGCCGTGCAGGAGAGGCGACGCCGTGGGGGTTCCACGTCGCGTCCGGTGGAGCCCCCTGCGTGCGGGGAATGGGGGGGGGGCCCGCTGTAGCCGAGGGGATGAGCGAGGCGCACGGCGTAGCTGGCGAAACACGCCAGCTACGCGGGCTGGATTGTACGGCCACTTTGCCTGCATATTAGGAGTTTGCGTCTCTCATCATCATCGCGGTGGCGAGGAGATGTTAACTACCTCGCCTGGTGTACAGGAGGTCGTGGGTTCGAACCGGACCCTGACTGACGCCTGCTGCTGTGTGTTTGGAGTTTGCGGTGTGTCTCTCCCTGTGGTCGTGTGGATTTCGTTTCTCTCCGGTGTTACCCTCCACATTGAGAATTAACGTCACGCGTTTAGAGCATTTGGCTGCTATAAATGTCCACGCGACGATGGCGATGACGACAAGCCACGTTCGTTGCGCTATCATTTGCGGCCAGGTCGCAGAGCTACATAGCTCAGGGGGCCTGGTGAATCTAAAATGGTTTTCGTAGCTTAGTTATAGTTTGTCCACCTACCTCTCTGTCCACATGGATTTATAGTGGGGAGGGGGGGGGTAACTTCTATTGTGAGTCTGCAAAGCGGAGGAAAGGGAGGGGGCCATGTCCCCCACCCCCCGCCCCCCCCAAACTCCCAAACCTGTGGTGCGCGCCTCGGCTCGGCTCGCCCGTCTCCGCTGCCGTAGGCGGAGGGCGAGAGCGTGGGTTATGAAATAAAATCATAAACATTTCTGCGTAGAAAATTAACGTCCACAAACCAGAGAGAGTGCAAGCTTGCCTCTAGCAGGACAACGTGTTCGACGTGCAGGCGCGGCTCACGCCCTGCTAGCGGTGACCTTGCGGTTTCACCGCACAAGGCTCGTGTTTGAACGCCAAGCTGGTGTGTTTGTACGGATCGAGGAGGGGGTTAAGCCTCCCCCCCACCATCGTAGCCCTAGCCACCTGCCGCCCCGTACCCACAGCTGGAGCTGCCCGGCCACATTCCTGATTCAGCACCTGCACATCCGGGCGTGTCCGGGCAAGAGTCTTAGCAAGGCAAGGTCAAGACAAGGTCAAGGCTGGGTCAAGGCAGCGTCAAGGCAGGGTGTGGTGCTCCAGGCAAGGATAAAATAAAACTATAGCCGGGGTTCGCTCCTCGGCGATCGGTCGTGCATCCGGATTAATTGAACGCGGACGTCAAAGCGGGGAGTCGCAGAGTGGAACCCGTCTCTCCCGCTCGCTCACGGCAGAGACGGGATTCCACTGTCAGGCGTCGGTCCGCTCTGCGGCTTGCCGTGGCGTATTTCGCCGTCGCGGGTTCAATCGTCGCGAGCGGATCTCCACCCACGACCGACTGCTCCAGTCCTAGAACGTGGCACGCCGTTCCAATTGCTTTGCCGGCGCAGCGAACGAGCGGGCGGGCGGGCGGGCGGGGCAGGAGAGTCGCGCGAGGGGGGCCGAGATCGCGGGGTGGTCACCGGACCTCACCGCGATCAACGCCGCCGTGGCGACGGTGGCGGCGAGCGTCGCCACCGCGTGGGTGGCCGTTGCCGCCGAGCTCAACGCGGCCGTCCGGTTGCCACCGCTGAGCTGGAGCGGAATCCGTCGGCGAGGACAGCTGGAAGCAACGTGGTAGGACTGACGGACCCACGGGGTGGGGGTGGGGGGGGGGGAGGAGGTTTCGCCGCTCCCCCGTCTGTCCGAATATCGACAACCTCCGCTATCACGGCCTGCCTCGAGCCGTGCAGATGAACACTGTCGGTAATTCTAAAGTCATTCAAGTGGCTCTTAAAATATAGCTTTAGCTGCGGGATGAACGTGTGGGGCAGGCGACGGAGAAGCCGTGAACCCCCACCGCCGCCACCGCCGGAGCCCCCCGCGCCCGCGATGAATGGCGCGTTCCGAGTTGAGTCGCGTGCGGGACAGAGGGGGTGGCGCGTACCATTCATGCTTGGTGGGGGGGGGGGGGTGATACAGGTCGTCTCTTCTCGTCAACGTCCATTCAACCGCCAATGGCTCCAGGAGTCTTTTCGGCGGACATTCGACGGGGGGGGGGGGGGGGGGACGCGGGCGGGGGGGGGGGGTGCCGCGTCCCGGCACGAGTCCCGCGTCCCGGCACGAGTCCCGCGTTTACACTGTGCCGTGGCTCTCGGTAGAAGTCCACATGCAGAGACGCCCACTGGAGACTTGCGACTTGCAGCGCAGGGGAGCCAGTGGTGGTGGTGGTGAGGAGGTGGGGGAGTAGGGGGGGGGGGGTTAGGGCCCTTACCAGAAGGGGCCTCTCCCTGTCCCTCCCCCGCCCCCCCCCCCCCCCCGCTCGCTCGTATCAACAGAGAGGGTGGGCGGGAGGGAGTTGCGATGCTTCAACAAATTCGCCCGCGAAAACAAGCAGACAGTCCGAGTGTCCAAACGCCAGGTGCGCTGCCTTGGGGGGGCCATGCCCCCCTCCCCACCCCCTCCCCCACCCCCCAGCCGGCATCCAACGCCGCTGCCTCCACCCCCAGCACGCTCCTCAGGCGGGGGTCGACTTGGACTTCGAGATTTTCTTCTTCCGTATGGCGAGCATGTCGTAGAAGGGGTCCCTGCTGATGCTGGCCCTGCGGGGGTGCAGCAGGGTGGGGGGGGGTGCAGCAGGGTGGGGGGGGGGGGTGCAGCAGGGTGGGGGGTGGGAGACAGGAGGTGACACCATTGCTACACAATGACCAAGGAGCTGATTCTGCACCGTCTGTGTGCGTGTGTGTGCCTACGGTGATCCACCAACCCTAGCTGCTGCCTGCACATCGCTGGCTCGCAGCCAGCCGCGTGCAGCGGCGTGGCCACCGCCGCCACCCCCGCTAACCCCCTTACAGGGGGTGGATGGCGAGCGACGAGGTGGCGAGCGAGGAGGTGGCGCCGCGCTTACCGGATGCTCTTCATCCACTCCTCCTTCTCGTCGGGCGTGGGCGCCGAGATGCGGTACACCTCGTGGTTGCCCTCCACCACCTTGCCGTCCGCGTCCGTCTTGCACGCCTTGATCACGTGCCCCTTGGTGTTGGGCATGTACAGCTCGAAGCAGTTCTGGGCAGGGAGGGGGGCGGGGGAGGGAGGGGTGGTGTGGGTGGGGGGCACGGGTGGCGGTGTGGGTTCAAGTTCAAGTTTCAAGTGTCCGGATAAAGTAACATTAATCGCAGGTAAATAGCAGGAGAAAAAACCCAACAGCTTCATTTCAGTGGTGGTGGTTGGTGGTGGCGGCTGTGATGGTGGTTGTGGTGACGGCAGCGGCGGTGGTGATGGCAGTGATGGCGGTGATGGCGGTGGTGGCAGTGGTGGCGACGGCGGTGGCTGTATCGGTGGTGATGATGGCTGTAGCGGCGGTGGTTATGATGATGATGATGGTGATGATGGCAGCGTTGGTAATGATGGTGGTGATGGTTGCATGCGGTGGCGTTGGTGATGGTGGTCTTGGTGGTGATGATGTCAGTGGTGATGATGGCAAAGGTTGATGGAGGTAGTGATGGTGATGGCGGTGGTGATGGTGATGGCGGTGGTGATGGTGATGGCGGTGGTGATGGTGATGGCGGTGGTGATGGTGATGGCGGTGGTGATGGTGATGGCGGTGGTGATGGCGGTGGTGATGGTGATGGCGGTGGTGATGGTGGTGGTGAGTAGAATCGCCACTCACAGGCTTCTTGGGATCCACCACCTCCCTGATGCTCAGGTTCTCTAGGGGGATGATCCCCCGCGGCTCCTTGTCCTGGAGGGGGCACAGCGAGGGGCGCGTTTCATTGCGGGAGCGATCAGGCGGCACGGCTCGGATTGACCGCAGTGGAAAACCGAGGTGTCGAGCGCCCCCCCCCCCACCCCCCTGGCACCGTGAGTCCGAGCGTCTCACCGTGGTGTACTCGAAGTAGTAGAGGCAGTTGTCGGTGAGGATGAACCACCGCCTCCGCCACGTCTTGATGCGCCCGCCTATACCGCCACACGCAGCAGCGGCAACAACAACGAGGACGACGACGTCAACAACAACAAGCGCAGTGAGGTCAGAGGTCGGAGCGCCCCAGGGCCCGCACCGCCGAGAGCCTGGATTCGAACCTGGGTTTTCAGCCGCTGCCCGTGATTGAACCGGGCTCTCTCATGGTGAGCGAGCTGGTTTGTCCGCCGCCCGGTCACCGATAGCTCGCGTACGCTCACGGGGAGGGAGTTTAGCAACATCCGTGCGATCCGCCCCAGAGCGCCAGCCAGCGAGCCAGCCAGCCAGCAAAACTTTGCGTCAGTAATATAGAACGTCACGCACCCAGCTTGAGCAGCCAGCCCTCGCGGTCGGGGTTGAAGAAGGTGAGCGTCAGGTCGTTGCCGTCGTCCTCGGGGATTTTGAACGGCTCGTTCTTGATGCTGTCGTACAGATTCTGCACAAACAAGCACAGAGAGCGCCGTTAGCCGCCAGGAGGGCTGGGTCGTGGATGATCCGAGTTGTGGATAAAACGTACTGGGCGTTGGTGAGGGGTACGGGGGAATGAATGTTGAATTTCCAACGCCCGGGTTGGGCTGTTAAATCGTCTGCTCCTTGCTCGTCGAGGGTCGGCGACTCGGGAGGTCGCGAGCGAGTCGGTCGCCTTGGGAGGGAATTCAACCGGACGGCGAGGTTCCCCGTTTTCATGCCCGTTCCACGTGGGCTGATAATTATTATAATAATTAATAATTATAATTATGATAATAATTTAACAAGTATAATTATAATAATAATAATTATTATAACAAATATAATTATAATAATTATGATAATTATAATAATTCATGAGTTTTTCAACCCAACTCGGATGTGCCTTGATTTATCCGGGGCACGTGTCCCTGCCGTTACCCTCAACAATGGAGAGTTCACTGGAACAGAGGTGGGCTCGCTAATAGTTTCAGTAATCGATGACTGCCCCGATCAGCGGTTCAAGAACTCAACCAATCAGATGACAACCAAGGCAGATGGATAATAAGTTTCACACACCTCTCAGCGCACACACTCCATCTCTCCACAGACACACACACCACAAACACTCCAAAGACAAAGACACCCCCCCCCCCCCCCCCCCATAGCCTTTAACAGACTTCTTGTGGCAAGTGCTGTTCACGAGTTGCACCTATAAAGGCTGGCACGGCACACGAGGGGGTGGGTGGCGATGCTTTAACACGCTGCATCAGGTACTCATTGTAGGTTGAGTAGACCTAGGACAGGCCCAGGACCGCTTCAAATAATCATCACTGGTGTCGGCTCGTAAAACTGGGAATCGAACTCTGGTCGCAGGGTTAGCAGCGCGGCGTGCTAACCACTACGCCACCGCTCCCCACACGCACACGTGCACACGTGCACACGTGCACACGTGCACACGTGCACACGTGCACACGTGCACACGTGCACACGTGCACACGCGCACCCTGAGCAGCCCCTCGGGGAGGTCCCCGCCGGCGTTGATGCCGCGGTTCATGCTGATGAACGTCTCCACGCCAGGCTTCTCGCGCACGTTCGGGTTGTGCAGGCTCGTGTTCAGCATGATGATCGCCACCGACAGCACGTAGCACGTGTCTGCACGCACGCACGCACAAAGACAACGATTCCCCCATATAGCCTCGAGCTGTTTGCGAGCACCTAGGGGGTGGGCGGCCAGCGCCATGCCCGACCACGTACACACGCACACACACACACGCTCACACGCACACTCACGCACACTCACACTCACACACCCGAGAATGATGATCGATGATGACCATGACAGTGATAATAATATTAAGATGATGGTAGCGACGACGACGGTGGTGATGGTGTAGATGGTGATGATGGTGATGATGGTGATGATGGTGATGAGGGTGATGATGATGGTGATGAGGGTGATGAAGACGAAGACGGTGAGGGCGATTCCGCCCCCCGGTGGGTGCGCTCGCCCCAGGTCTGCCTGGCGAGGAGAGCCGCTGCCCCCCCAGGTGGGAGCCCTCACCTGGCCGAGCTCAACGACCTTGACCCACGTCCTCGGGAGGAGGAGGAGGAGGAGCTGGGCGTGGGAGCGGACGCAGTGCCAGCGCCGTGGCCACAAAGGCCCCTTTCTCATCGTCGCCCCCCCCCCCAACTCCGTGTTTTGTTTACCCCCCTGCCTGCCCCCTCCCCGTGTTTGTGCCCCCCCGAGGCCTCGCGTGAAAAGGCCGCTTTGGAAATGCTAAACGAGCGTCGCCACGGCAACCTCGCGCGTAGCGAGGAGCGAGCGCAGAGGCTGGGCAGAGAGTAAATGACTGCGGCGGGTGACGATGGTGGTGGTGATAGTGGCGATGGTAATGATGGTGGTAATGATGACGATGGTGGTGGCGGTGGTGGTAATAATGTTGGTTTTGGTGACGATGGATATGATGATGATGATTTTGGTCGTGATAATGATGGTGGTAGTGGTGATGATGATGGTGACGAGAATGGCGATGGTAATGATAGTGATGGTGATTACAATGATGATTACTCAGCCACAAATCATCTGTGCATGTTAAATACAAATTAACACATCGTAATCCTTAGGGTTACTAATTATGAAGGCTGAGTTTGAGTTTATTTAATTTGTCACACAGATGTCGAAAGTCAACGGCGAACACGTTGAACTTGGATGCGTGCAAAGAAAATCTGGGTGGGAACCTCCTCTAGGTCGACTCAGCCTGAAATGAGTACCTGGGGACTGGAAGACGCCGGCGTTGCACTGGCAGTAGCGGGCGGCAAACGACTCCATCATGCGGTCGATCTTCTGAGCCTCTCCAGGCAGGCGGAAACTCCACAGGAACTGCCTGCATCAACATCGCCGTCAACATCGCCGTCAACATCACCGTCAACATCAACAGCATCATCATCATCATAAAAATCATCGACACCATCATCAACACCATCATCATCATCAACACCATCATCAACACCATTATCAACACCATAACCATCATCATCAACATCGTCAACAACATCGACATCATCATCAACACCATCAAACACCATCACCAACAACAACACCACCATTATCAACATCACCATCAGGCGCTGGCTCATCCGCAGCAGAGCACCTGATGAGTCGCGCGAGCGCCCAGGTGCCTCGTGTCTGGCTCGCTCGTGGACTGAGACCACGTGATCAGCAGCAGTGGCGGCAGCAGCGGCCACACCGAGGGGCATGCCGGACGCGGCAGCGGCGGCAGCGGCGTGCCGGGCCGCGGAGATTTATCTCCTGGCTTCGCCGACGCGGCCAAACCCCCGGTCGCGATGTGAGGCCTGGTCTCACCTGAGAGCCTGCACGAGGTTGAGGCCTGCGAACTCGTGCAGCTCCACAAAGGCCTGCAGCACCTTGAGGTTAAACTCATCCCTGTGGGGGGATGGGAGGGGAGGGGGGCACGTGGGGGAGGTGGGGGGGAGATGAGAAGGAGATGAGAGGGGAGGAGATAAGAGGGGGGGGGGGGAGAAGAGTGGGAGAGGCTGAGAGGGGAGGTGAGATGAGAGGCGGCTGCAATGGGAGGGTTGTTGGGAACCAGGTGGCATAGTGGTAGACAATGAAGGTTGTTGGGAACCAGGTGACATAGTGGTAGACAATGAAGGTTGTTAGGAACCAGGTGACATAGTGGTAGACAATGAAGGTTGTTAGGAACCAGGTGGCATAGTGGTAGACAATGAAGGGTTCAGGTTAGGAGTAGGGTGAGAGTCAGGGCTCGGAAGAGGGTGAGGGAGTAAGGTTCAGGATTGGGGTGAGGGAGTAAGGTTCAGGACAGGGTGAGGGAGTAAGATTCAGGACAGGGTGAGGGAGTAAGGTTCAGGACAGGGTGACGGAGTAAGGTTCAGGACAGGGTGAGGGAGTAAGGTTCAGGACAGGGTGAGGGAGTAAGGTTCAGGACAGGGTGAGGGAGTAAGGTTCAGGATTGGGGTGAGGGAGTAAGGTTCAGGACAGGGTGAGGGAGTAAGGTTCAGGATTGGGGTGAGGGAGTAAGGTTCAGGAGAGGGTGAGGGAGTAAGGTTCAGGACAGGGTGAGGGAGTAAGGTTCAGGATTGGGGTGAGGGAGTAAGGTTCCGGATGGGGGGGCTCCCTACCGCTCCCCCAGGTAGTCCCCGATGGCCGTCTTGTTGAGGCCTTCACCCTTGCACAGGAACTGGGCAATGTCCTCGGGCGTGCGCTGCAGAAGCTCGTTCGCGATCAGGAAGTCGATGCCCTGCGGAGCGTCACGCACGGAATGTCGCGCGCTCTCTTAACAGCACACGGGCGCAGGGTTGGCGCCGCCCGGCAGTTAGCACGTGGTAGGAGGCTTTCGCGACCAATATCATCCATCATAGAGGTTGTTGTTTTGCGGTTGGATCGCGTAAATATATAAATGTGTCGTTAAAACCCGCCACTGCCCGACACAGCCAACTAGTAAGGGTTGTCACGTAAACAATTCGTCACTAGTACAGCACTAGTGTATAGTGTAGTGTATAGTGTAGTGTATAGTAGTGTATAGTGTAGTGTATAGTGTAGTATACTAGTACAGCACACCGGTTGTGTGTTGGAGAGCCAAGCCACAACATTCACAATCCGACTACTGTGACGTTTCGCCAGTAACTACAACTAGCTAAGGGGGAGGTGGGTGGAGGTGGGGGGGGGGCACTTTGGCCGCTAAGACTTCACCAGCGCGAGGTCCGCCACACGTTTGAAACCAGTGGGGGGTTTGACAGCAGCACGACGACGATGATGATGATGATGGGGAGGGTGGTGTTTTCACTTTTGTGTTTCTTCGGGGTGATGAGGGGAGCGTACGTCAGGAGCCGCACTGAAGGCCCACCAGGGGCTGCACTCAAGGCCCACCAGGGGCCGCACTCAAGGCCCACCAGGGGCCGCCAGTGGTCCCTGATGGGCCTTGCAATGAAGACCACTGGACGAGAGAGTTGCTTCTAGAGCGTCCGTTGGCCATCAAAAGAGGTGTCAGGAGTGTATCCACGTTCCTATAGTGGGGGGGGAGGGGGGGCGAGTCTCTACCATTGGACAAACCACCGGTGACTTCGACACAAAGCGGTACTCACTTTAATCACACCCGCCCCCCTCTCTCCCGCAGGGGTGATGGGCCGAGTCAACCCTCCCTCGCAACCCTTGCGATCGCGAGCCACCAGCTTATTATGTAAATCACCAGCGCTGTCGTCACAGTACTGGCCACGTGGCCACCCCAGCACCTCCCCCCAGCCCCTCCCCCCAACCCAACATAGCCATTAACCCCTCTTGTGGCCAGACGTTTAATTGCCACACTGGCGGCCGGGCTCCTGTTCCGACCACCCCCATCTAATCACATCGCTGCGCTTAATTACAGCTCGTGTCTTAGGTGTAATGACGGGGGGCGTGGGGGGCGGACTCCTGACACGCCCCCCCCCCCTTCACCCCCCACTGACTCCCTGGGTCTTGAACACAAAAGGATGGTCGGGGCAAGGGTGACAGCTGGGATAGGATCCAATTAACGCAGAGAGGGCTTCCCATTACAGCCAGAGCGGATGTGGAACACACACCCACACGTGTGTGTCTGTACATCCTACACGTGTGTGTGTGTCTGTACATCCTACACGTGTGTGTGTGTCTGTGTCTGTACATCCTACACGTGTGTGTGTGTGTGTCTGTACATCCTACACGTGTGTGTGTGTGTCTGTACATCCTACACGTGTGTGTCTGTGTCTGTACATCCTACACGTGTGTGTGTGTCTGTACATCCTACACGTGTGTGTGTGTGTCTGTACATCCTACACGTGTGTGTGTGTGTGTCTGTACATCCTACACGTGTGTGTGTGTGTGTACATCCTACACGTGTGTGTGTGTACATCCTACACGTGTGTGTGTGTCTGTACATCCTACACGTGTGTGTGTCTGTACATCCTACACGTGTGTGTGTGTGTCTGTACATCCTACACGTGTGTGTGTGTGTCTGTACATCCTACACGTGTGTGTGTGTGTCTGTACATCCTACACGTGTGTGTGTGTGTCTGTACATCCTACACGTGTGTGTGTGTGTATCTGTACATCCTACACGTGTGTGTGTGTGTATCTGTACATCCTACACGTGTGTGTGTGTGTGTGTATCTGTACATCCTACACGTGTGTGTGTGTATCTGTACATCCTACACGTGTGTGTGTGTGTATCTGTACATCCTACACGTGTGTGTGTGTATCTGTACATCCTACACGTGTGTGTGTCTGTGTCTGTACATCCTACACGTGTGTGTGTGTGTGTCTGTACATCCTACACGTGTGTGTGTGTGTCTGTACATCCTACACGTGTGTCTGTGTCTGTACATCCTACACGTGTGTGTGTGTCTGTACATCCTACACGCGTGTGTGTGTGTGTCTGTACATCCTACACGTGTGTGTGTGTGTCTGTACATCCTACACGTGTGTGTGTGTGTCTGTACATCCTACACGTGTGTGTGTGTGTACATCCTACACGTGTGTGTGTGTGTCTGTACATCCTACACGTGTGTGTGTGTCTGTACATCCTACACGTGTGTGTGTGTGTCTGTACATCCTACACGTGTGTGTGTGTGTCTGTACATCCTACACGTGTGTGTGTGTGTCTGTACATCCTACACGTGTGTGTGTGTATCTGTACATCCTACACGTGTGTGTGTGTATCTGTACATCCTACACGTGTGTGTGTGTATCTGTACATCCTACACGTGTGTGTGTGTGTGTATCTGTACATCCTACACGTGTGTGTGTGTATCTGTACATCCTACACGTGTGTGTGTGTGTGTATCTGTACATCCTACACGTGTGTGTGTGTGTGTCTGTACATCCTACACGTGTGTGTGTGTGTGTGTCTGTACATCCTACACGTGTGTGTGTGTGTCTGTACTGTACATCCTACACGTGTGTGTGTGTGTCTGTACATCCTACACGTGTGTGTGTGTGTGTCTGTACATCCTACACGTGTGTGTGTGTGTGTCTGTACATCCTACACGTGTGTGTGTGTGTCTGTACATCCTACACGTGTGTGTGTGTGTCTGTACATCCTACACGTGTGTGTGTGTGTGTCTGTACATCCTACACGTGCGTGTGTCTGTACATCCTACACGTGCGTGTGTCTGTACATCCTACACGTATGTGTGTGTCTGTACATCCTACACGTATGTGTGTGTCTGTACATCCTACACGTATGTGTGTGTCTGTACATCCTACACGTACGTGTGTGTCTGTACATCCTACACGTACGTGTGTGTCTGTACATCCTACACGTACGTGTGTGTCTGTACATTCTACACGTACGTGTGTCTGTACATTCTACACGTACGTGTGTCTGTACATCCTACACGTACGTGTGTGTCTGTACATCCTACACGTACGTGTGTGTCTGTACATCCTACACGTACGTGTGTCTGTACATCCTACACGTACGTGTGTCTGTACATCCTACACGTACGTGTGTGTCTGTACATCCTACACGTACGTGTGTGTCTGTACATCCTACACGTACGTGTGTGTCTGTACATCCTACACGTACGTGTGCCTGTACATCCTACACGTGTGTGTCTGTACATCCTACACGTGTGTGTGTGAGTTTCTGCACAAAAAATACAAAGATCCCCCGCATAGCCTTAACAGACTGTTGGAGCAAGTGCTGTTAGCAAGCACCGATAAAGGCCGGCAGAGCGCACGAGGGGGGGTGCGTGGCCAGCACCACGCCCGGCCGTCTTTGTCTCTCCACTGCCGATGTTAACACATAACACCGGGTACTCATTTGAGGCCTAGCTGACCGAGGGGAGGCCCCGGGACCGGTTCAGATAATCGTCACCGGTGTGGGCGGCCGTGAGCGGGAATCGAACTCGGGTAGGCCGGGCTCGTAGGGCAGCGTGGCGCTCACCGCGTAGTTGCGTGTGGAGTGCATTGTGGGTAGTCGCACGAACCGAAAGCGCGTAGAGCGAGGGCAAACCCCGTACTCGTCGTGTCTGCGCTGTATGTTGAACTTCTTTAGCACCGTACGTGGCCAACCGTGATAATCGGAGATGCGTGGAGGGGGGTACACAGTGCCGGATTATTCCAGTAGCAAAAGTAGCTAGCTCCACGTGCTACGGGCTCCGCACTTTCAAGGGCCCCGCGCTAAAAATTCCGGTTCAGTGATTCTGCACTTGCTCTATTACTATAGTACTATACTCCCTTCAACTTTTATGAACGACTGGGTGTTTAAGGTTAGCGATTTGTCGTATTATCTGGCTGCATAGTAAATGAACAAATACAATTTATTTACTGTGCAAGTTAAAAATGTGTGTGTATTAATATTAATGTGTTTTTTTAATTATTTAGGGCCCCTTTATAACATTTGCTACAGGCCCCGCACTGGCTTCATCCGGCACTGGGTGGGGGGGGGGGGGGGGCGATAGCTGCGCACATCTCAGGCACCTTCTTGTGGTCCATGTTGAATTTCTTTCGACCGGTTGCCAGCTGCTTGTTCCTCTGTAGCGTCTTGGAGCTGAACGGACAAACAGACGACCAAGAAGCAAACACAAATAGCCGGGGGGGGCGAGTTTGTTGTATAAAATATACGTAACCTTAAAGGGTGCCAGTCCAAAAAGAAACCTTCATGTTTGTTACTGCCAAGGTCACGCGCGCCTAATGAGCTTACGTATTTGTTCGCTGTTGGACCGAAGCGGGAATCCCACGATGTTCAGTGGGCGCTCAAAGGGATTGAGAGATGCATCCCCCGGGCGATACACACAGAGCCATTGTACAAGGCAGTGGTTCTTAGCCTGGGGGTGCACGCACCCCCTGGGGGCGCGAGATGCCCTTTCTGGGGGGCGGGAGACATGCTCGAAGGTAAATAATCGAAAAGACAAATCAAGCACGGCCACGTAGGTGCCGCTACTTTGTGTCATCAAAGCCCATGTGTTTATTAGCGTTATAATAATGTACCATTGATAACCAAAGGGGTTGCAGGCTGCAGTAAAGGTGAAGAACCACTGGTATAGGGGCACAGAGAGGAGGAGCTGGTGCAGGATTCCTTACCAACCTCTCAACATGAACATACAATGGGGTCATTCATAATACAGGTTTTTTTGGGGTTAGATCGCGTAAATATAAATGTGTCGTTAAACCCGCCACCACCCGACACAGCCAACTAGTAAGGGTCGTCACGTAAACAGAACGTGCCAATTCGTCACTAGCACAGCACACCGGTGTGTTGGAGAACAAATCCACAACATTTACAGTCTGAGTACGACGTTTCGCCAGTAATGACAACTAGCTTCATCAGGCGACAGCCAGATTTGTGGAGAAGTCCATAAAGAGGCCTCTATATAAAGAAGGAAACAGGAGGACAGATTGTAAATGTTGCGGCTTGGCTCTCCAACACACCGGTGTGCTGTACTAGTGACGAATTGGCCACGTCCTGTTTAAGTGACAGCCCTTACAAAGTTGGCTGTGTCGGGTGGTGGCGGGTTTAACGACACACTGATACATGTACGCGATCTAACCTAAAAAAAAAACCTGCGTTATGGATGATATTGGTCGCGATAGCCTCCTAAGCGTTAAACCGGGGTCGTTCTCAGCTGTTCACTCTTGCAACCGAAGGGTAACGAGACATCGGGAGGTGGAGGGTGAGATCCACGCCACGTTTCCACATCGGTAGCGAGCGTGGCGGCGCCCCCCCCCGACCCCCCCACCCCCCCCCCCCCCCCCCCCCCCCCCCACGTGTGCCGCGTGCGTGACGCTCTCCGGACGTCGAGAGGGTTCCGTGTCAAGAAGCAAGGCAGGCAGAGGAGCCAGAGGACCACGCAGAGCGAGAGGCTGTCACGTGAATCGTCATCCAGCAGCGGCTATACCACGAACGATGACGGCGACGGGTGATGACACGAGCGTGCAAACTTGCTCGGGATGAGACTCGGGCGACGAGGAAGGAGCGGATCGGGAAAACAAAGGCACGCGTGGCACCACGGAGTGACCGATTGTGATATAGAAACAACGCAGCACAACACCACGTGGACGTTCAACACTTGGCGATCTCAACCCCCCCCGCCGCCCCCCATGCCCCGCCCCTCATCTCCACCCCGCCCCCACCAACCCCGTGGGTGGAGGCGTTGAGTGATCAAGGTCTCGTGGGGAGGAGGCGAGGCTAGGGGGTGGATGGCAATGGGGAGGGGGGACGGGTGAAGGAAGGGTTGGGGGGGGTTAAGGAGAATGGGGGGGAGGGGTGGGAGGAGGGGTGGGGGAAGGGGTGGGGGGAGGAGGGGTGGGGGGAAACAATCTCACAGATTTCCCCTAGGGCGTGAAATTGGCCTCGAAGCAGTTGCTCCAATTAGTGGAGGGGGGAGGGGCCGTGGGGGGGAGGGGCCGTGAGGGGAGGGGGCGGAGCCATGGGGGAAGAGTGCAATATAGCCCCCCCCCCCTCGCCCTTAAGATTCAGTGATTCTCAGATTGCCTGAACTCTCTAGTCTAGAGGGACTCTCTAGTCTAGAGAGACTCTCTAGACTAGAGGGACTCTCTAGTCTAGAGAGACTCTCTAGCCTAGAGGGACTCTCTAGCCTAGAGAGACTCTCTAGCCTAGAGAGACTCTCTAGTCTAGAGAGACTCTCTAGTCTAGACGGACTCTCTAGACTAGAGGGACTCTCTAGCCTAGAGGGACTCTCTAGTCTAGAGAGACTCTCTAGCCTAGAGGGACTCTCTAGCCTAGAGAGACTCTCTAGCCTAGAGGGACTCTCTAGCCTAGAGGGACTCTCTAGCCTAGAGGGACTCTCTAGCCTAGAGGGACTCTCTAGCCTAGAGGGACTCTCTAGTCTAGAGGGACTCTCTAGCCTAGAGGGACTCTCTAGCCTAGAGGGACTCTCTAGTCTAGAGAGACTCTCTAGTCTAGACGGACTCTCTAGACTAGAGGGACTCTCTAGCCTAGAGGGACTCTCTAGTCTAGAGAGACTCTCTAGCCTAGAGGGACTCTCTAGCCTAGAGGGACTCTTTAGCCTAGAGGGACTCTCTAGACTAGAGGGACTCTCTAGACTAGAGGGACTCTCTAGCCTAGAGGGACTCTCTAGCCTAGAGGGACTCTCTAGACTAGAGGGACTCTCTAGACTAGAGGGACTCTCTAGCCTAGAGGGACTCTCTAGACTAGAGGGACTCTCTAGCCTAGAGGGACTCTCTAGCCTAGAGGGACTCTCTAGACTAGAGGGACTCTCTAGCCTAGAGGGACTCTCTAGACTAGAGGGACTCTCTAGTCTAGAGGGACTCTCTAGCCTAGAGGGACTCTCTAGTCTAGAGGGACTCTCTAGTCTAGAGGAACTCTCTAGTCTAGAGGGACTCTCTAGCCTAGAGGGACTCTCTAGCCTAGAGGGACTCTCTAGACTAGAGGGACTCTCTAGCCTAGAGGGACTCTCTAGCCTAGAGGGACTCTCTAGTCTAGAGGGACTCTCTAGTCTAGAGGGACTCTCTAGTCTAGAGGAACTCTCTAGTCTAAAGGGACTCTCTAGCCTAGAGGGACTCTCTAGACTAGAGGGACTCTCTAGACTAGAGGGACTCTCTAGACTAGAGGGACTCTCTAGCCTAAAGGGACTCTCTAGTCTAGAGGGACTCTTTAGCCTAGAGGGACTCTCTAGACTAGAGGGACTCTCTAGCCTAGAGGGACTCTCTAGCCTAGAGGGACTCTCTAGCCTAGAGGGACTCTCTAGTCTAGAGGGACTCTCTAGCCTAGAGGGACTCTCTAGCCTAGAGGGACTCTCTAGCCTAGAGGGGCTCTCTAGACTAGAGGGACTCTCTAGCCTAGAGGGACTCTCTAGCCTAGAGGGACTCTCTAGTCTAGAGGGACTCTCTAGCCTAGAGGGGCTCTCTAGACTAGAGGGACTCTCTAGAGAGCACGTGGTCTCCCCTTGCACGCTTTCCACACGTGTTGGTCGAGGTGGCAGTGACATCACTTTAACAGCTCCACACGTGACCTGCACACCGTAGGGAGAGATGAGAGATGGGCAGAGGAGAGCGAGAGACGAGGCGAGAGACGAGGCGAGAGACGAAAGACGAGGCGAGAGACCGATGATGCTCACCTCTCCTCGCTGTAGGCGAGCGTCTCCATCTCGCTGATGACCCCGGCTATCTCATTCTGGAGTCGCTGGGGACACACGGACACAGCATACGGACAGCCGCTGTTAGCGAGCACCCATTAAGGCTGCCGGGAGCGACGGCGCAGTGGTTGGCGTTCTGTGCCATGGACCCGGCCACCCGAGTTCAATTCTGAACCATGGCCAACATCGGTTGAGTGATTCCGAGAACCGATCCATAAACTGATTCTGGATCCTCTACACTGATGAATATTCACTCACACTTGTGTGTGAGCATGCTTACACCTGTGAGCGAGTATGCATACACCTGTGAGTTTAAATACACCTATCTGTGTGTGAGTATGCATAGACCTGTGTGTGTATGCACACACCTGTGTGTGAATGCGTACACCTGTACACACCTGGATGTCAGCCAGGAGGTCCTCTTTCCGCTGATGGACATCGTCGAGTTCCGCCAGTTCCTCTGGCTCGTCCGAGGTCAGGGCGCCCGCGGCTACGGGGGGTGGGAGAGTTCGGGGGGGGGGGGGGGGGAGGGGGTGCAGGAGGAGGTCAGAGTTCGAGGTGGCAAGATGGGAGGAAGCGTGATAGGGCGTGAGGATGCCGGTGATGGAGGAGTGTGATGGTGTGCTTGTGGTGGCAGCGGTTCTGGTGGTGAGAGGGGAGTGTGATGTGATGGATCGTGATGACACGATTGTGACGAGAGAGCGATGGTGATGGGACACGGTCTGAATGGAGGGATGGAGGGAGGGATGGAGGGATGGTGATGGAGGGAGGGATGGAGATGGAGGGAGGGATGGTGATGGAGGGAGGGAGGGATGGAGGGATGGTGATGGAGGGAGGGAGGGATGGAGATGGAGGGAGGGATGGTGATGGAGGGATGGAGGGAGTGTATATTGCAAGAAGCACATTTGAGGATGTCATGTGAGGAGCCACCGCCCCAAGTCCTCGTCTGTTCACCGTGACCAGGTGACCCTGTGTGTTTTATGTTTTGGGGGGGGGGGTTGTGCAAATACACTGAGCACTTTTTCAGGGGGGGTGGGGAGGATGAGGTGTGACTGGGGGACGGTGGGGGGAGGGGGTGAGGTGTGGGGGGGGGCAATCCATAAATATTCCTGTTTAGGGTCCCCCAATGAGCTATCAAGCGCTACCAGTGGCCCTCCCATCCCCGTCAACATCCACCAACCCCCAGGGAGAGAGACTGCTTGGGGGGGCGATCGTGTCCCCCTCTCGCGTCGTAACACGAGAAGCCAGAGGCCCCTGCCTGCTGCTCGCCCGAGTGGCCCTGACCCGGGTCACCTGACCCGGGTCACCTGACCCGGGAACCGCCGTGACCCGGGTCACCTGACCCGTGTGTGTGTAAGGGCTGTGTGTGTAGGCTATACACACACAGCCTATACACACACAGCCTATACACACACCCTGTACACACACCCTATACACACACCCTATACACACACCCTGTACACACACCCTATACACACACCCTGTACACACACCCTATACACACGGGTCACCTGACCCGTGTGTATAAGCTGTGTGTGTAGGCTATACACACACCCTGTACACACACCCTGTACACACACTCTGTACACACACCCTATACACACAGCCTATACACACAGCCTATACACACAGCCTATACACACAGCCTATACACACAGCCTATACACACAGCCTACACACACAGCCTACACACACAGCCTACACACACAGCCTACACACACAGCCTACACACACACCCTATACAGAGCCTATACACACAGCCTATACACACACCCTATACACAGCCTATACACACAGCCTATACACACATCCTATACAAAGCCTATACACACACAGCCAATACACACACCCTATACAGAGCCTATACACACCCTATACACACACCCCATACACTACCTATACACACACAGCCTATACACACCCTATGCACACAGCCTATACACACCCTATACACACAGCCTATACACACACAGCCTATACACACAGCCTATACACACACCCTATATACACAGCCTATACACACCCTATGCACACAGCCTATACACACCCTATGCACACAGCCTATACACTACCTATACACACAGCCTATACACACACGCCATATACTACCTATACACACAGCCTATACACACAGCCTATACACACAGCCTATACACACACCCCATACACACAGCCTATACACACAGCCTATATACACACAGCCTATACACAGCCTATACACACACCCTATACAGAGCCTATAAACACACAGCCTATACACACAGCCTATACACTACCTATACACACACAGCCTATACACACATCCTATACACACAGCCTATACACTACCTATACACACACAGCCTATACACACAGCCCATACACACAGTCTATACACACAGCCTATACATACACAGCCTATACACACATCCTATACAGAGCCTATACACACAGCCTATACACACAGCCTGTACACTACCTATACACACACACAGCCTATACACACACAGCCTATACACACACCCCGTACACACAGTCTATACACACAGCCTATACATACACCCCACACACAGCCTATACACCCCCATCAACCCCCCCCCGCACCGCGTGCACGCGGTGCGACTTTTTGCCCTCGAGTCACTGTGCGGCGAGCGTCCCCAGTCACTCGCTGCCAATTTCATCGTCGTCGTCATCATCAGATGACTCCTCTTCTGCTTTTGACTTCTCCCTGCACCACCCACCCCCACGTCCTCCTCCTCCTCTCCGCCCCGGCCATCCCCCCGCCCCCACCATCCTCGAGCCATGGGTAACCACCGCTCCACTGAGCTCCACGTGTGGGCAGGCACGTGTGCGCTGCTAAAAGCCAGCGGCCAGAGTTCCATTCCCACTCACGGCTAACGTCAGTGACGATTATCTGAACCGGTCCCGGGCCTCCCCACCGGTCCACTCGGCCTCAAATGAGTACCTGGTGCGAACGTGTAAACATCGTGGAACAAATACATCGCCACCAGGGAGACAAAGGCGACGGGGCGTGGGTGCTGGCTATCCACCCCCTTTAGTGCGCCGTGCCGGCCTTCATAGCTGCTGCTCGCTAACAGCACTTGCCCCAACAGTGTGTTAAGGCTATACGGGGGATCCTTGTCTTTGTCACACCTGTATACCTGTGCACGCGAGGGTGTGATGGCAGGCTGCTGCTGCCGCTCGCTGAAGATGATATTTTCCGATAAGTTTGATTACAAGAATCAAGGGCAAAAGTCGTAAACGAAGAAAAATTTCCTATCGGCTCAGATCCGCCGATGACGTAAGCCACCATAGCGTCCAGCGAGTGTGAACGACAGGAAATGATTGGAGAATTAAAACCAAAATTCCCCAAAACTTCGGGCTCGGGCTAACCACGAGCAAAACAGAAGTCGCGCTCTGACAAAGTTACCCTGAACGGCCGAGGAGGGGGGAGGGGGATGGTGTCCGAGAGACGACTCATTTCTTTAGGACCGCTTTTTGTGTTTCGTTTCTTGTTCTGCCGTCGCACGCCCGATTAGCACGGTTGGCTAGGTACGGCGCGTAAGAAGTTCAACATAACAAAATACATGATGCTGGTGATGGTGGTGGTGATGTCGATGGTTTGTCCATCTGGAACGCTCTTTCTTCTGGCATTAGGAAGCCATTGGACCTATGCACTTTTAGATCATCTCGATGGACAAACTAATTTCTTTGGAACAGCTTTTTGAGTTAAGTTTGTTGTCCTACCTCCGCACCTCCAATTAGCGCGGGTGGCTACGTACGGTGCGAAAGAAGTCCAACATAAATACAACGCTGGAAAACAGAGTGCAGCAAGCGTTCGTCTTTTTTCTTCCTGATGACGAACGCTTGTGTTGCGATCGAAACGTCGTAGTTTTTTCGTTATTTTTTGTTATTTTCTTTGAACCTATCTACATGACTTTACCGAAAGACCCAAGAATATGAATTCCTGCAGTCACGAAAGCTTTAAGTGAAGATTTAACACCACAACCGCGAGAGGACGGGGCCAGGCAAGTGGAGCTTGAGGTTCAGCCAAAATTGCCACCGTGGCCACCACCCAAGTCAGACGATCGCCCACGAACCGAACTCCTGGCCGCGAGAGATCCATTGCCGGTGGCATCGCGACCACTCGCAAACTCTGCCTCGTCGCCCGAAGCCGTTGAACGGATCGCTAACCTCGACGTCAAACTACAACCGCTTCCCAAGCCATACGGAGAAGAAGCTGAACCAACCCATTTTTTTCAACGAAACTATTTTTTATTTCACCAGGTAATGCCCACTGGCTATCACAAATGATAGCTCAACGAAGTGGCTCATCAAGTAGGGATTTATAGTAGCAGCCAAATACTCGAAACGCGTGATGTTGATTCTAAATGTGGAGGGAAAAACCGGAGGACTTGGAGAAAAATCCACACACCGGCCATGCACCACTGCCTCCACTCGCGACGTTTCTTACCCCATCCCGCTTATATTATCATTATTAGATTGATCATAATTCTTATTAGAATAATAAATCATTATTAGAATATTAATTATAAAAAAATTATTATAATTATAAAAAATAATTATTATTATTAAAAAAATATATAATCATTATTAGAAGCATATATTATTATTAGAATAATTGTTTTTATTATAATATAGTAATCATTATTAGAATAATAGCTCCTTTCGTACTGAAGTATCTCAAAAGCGCTGCACGGATAAATTAAACTGAACTCACAAGTACAGATACAATCTAAGCGAACTAGAAAGCTGACAACGACATCAATGACTACACTCGAAATTCCAATCAACTAAAGACCTATGATGAAAGCGAAAAACAATAATGATGATGACAGAGTAATCCAATCAGATGTCACCATCGGTTTTCAAATTTAAAATAAGTCATGGTGCTTAACCTGCACATGGCGTCTAATCCGCGTGGCCCTCTCTCTCTCTCTCTGTCCAAGCGTGCACCACCACCGCTCTTCTTGCTGTGCCACTCTTTGAGCCACAGACGAGAGAGGGAACCAACCGAAGTCTGCACTCCTCCTTCAAAAGAGGAGGAGGAGGATGAACGGCGACACGACTCGATCTCTCTCTCTGCTGAAGCCCTCTCGTCGTGGCCAGCAGCAGCAAGCAGCAAGAAGCAGCAGCAAGAAGCAGCAGCAGCAAGCAGCAAGAAGCAGCAGCAGCAAGCAGCAAGAAGCAGCAGCAGCAAGCAGCAAGAAGCAGCAAGCAGCAAGAAGCAGCAGCAAGCAGCAAGAAGCAGCAGCAGCAAGCAGCAGCAGCAGCAGCAGCAAACAGCAGCAGCAGCAAGAAGCAGCAGCAGCAAGCAGCAGCAGCAGCAGCAAGCAGCAGCAGCAGCAAGCAGCAGCAGCAGCAAGCAGCAGCAGCAGCAAGAAGCAGCAGCAGCAAGCAGCAGCAGCAGCAAGAAGCAGCAGCAGCAAGCAGCAGCAGCAGCAAGCAGCAGCAGCAGCAAGAAGCAGCAGCAGCAAGCAGCAGCAAGCA